TGGAATAGGTCACTGAGACAGCCTTAAGCCCGTGCTGTGAAGCTAGCTCACCATTTGGAATCTCTTCTTTTCATGAGAGGTACCAGGAAACTGCTGCTTTGTTCACCGTGCTATGGCTTTGTTGTTTTATTTTACGTATAAACATGCACTAGGGTCTACCAGCTCACCAGATTCCAGGAAGGAAACAAAAACGGAAGCAGAAGTTTCCTAACCCTGTTTCCCTGTGCTGTAGCAAAACCAGCAATCCACCTAAATGTTACATTCGAAATTCAGTCTCCAGACTTTAGAAGTCTGGGTTGGAAAATGAGCTGTATTTAGACATGCATGTTACTCCAGGACTATGGAGTAACATAGTCCTAAGGTGTGTTATTCCAGCAACAGATTTCCATGCAGGGAACCCCTGGCCAAGAGCTGCATCCAGAGCAAAGGTGAAGCAGACAGACAGACAGACACATAGAGAGTGGAGACCAGCCGGGGCCTGGCTGTGGAGGCTGCTGGGCTGGTTTGCAGGAGCAATTTGCCCAGTGACAGGACAAGGAGTAACGACCATAAGCAAAGGCACAAGAAGTTCCACCTCAACACAAGGAAGAGCTTCTTTATGTGGGGGTTGGAACAGGCTGCCCATGGAGAGCATGGAGTCTCCTCTAGACACATTCCAAACGCACCTGAATGGTTCCAGTGTCACCTGCTCTAGGTGACCCTGCCTTGGCAGGGAGGTTGGACTGGATGAGCTCCAGGGATCCCTTCCAACTCTAATTAATCTCTGATTCTGTGAACCTCAGCACTGGAAAAAGGCTTGATGGTCAGTTTCTATCTCAAGTTATCACTGCTAAAGGCATTTTTCTGCTCTAATTTCATCATCTAGCAAATATTTTGAAAATTACTAAATAAGCTTGCACAGAAAAGTAATAGAACATAATTTAAAACTTGTAACACTTAGATATGTAATAGCTGCTTAGTTGTTGCACTTCAAAACTGAAAACTACTTCTCCTTGCTAACATTTGATGCTTTTTAAAAGGGTGAATTATCTAAATAGTTGGTGCTTTATTTAACAGAAATTTCCAATAAACCTCATTCTGTCACTTTGACTTACGCCACTTCATGCCATGTGACATGAAGGCATTGATATAAGTTTGGCAGGCAGTGCCAGTGCTGACCAGTCAGTTTGAGAATTTATGACAAATTATATGCTACTGATATTTTTAAAACAACTGTGGATTGCCAAGGAAAAAAAGAATTTTAAATGTGTAATAACACTGATGTATCTTTAGATTGAAAGCAATTTATTCAATTCAAATAGTTATATTGATTTAATGTTCAGGCTGACAATGCAATAAAAGAAAGGAAATTTATATTGAAAATTCCCAACTAGCTTAGGTTACAATATATTATAGAGCAAAGGAAAATTAGATATGTTAATATAATGGGCTTTTTTTCTTTTTTTGAAACATTGTCATTAAGTAATATTGTTAGCATTTAATAATTTGAAATAATCTATCTCAAACGTTAAGGACCTACACAGAAAAAAAAAGGGCGTCCACTGAACAGAGAATTAATTGCTTATGAAAATTCTTATTCAGCAAAGAATACAACATGGCAAGTGGGGGGGTATCTTTCACTAGAAGTGCTAGTTGTTTTAAATAATGTTTTTTCCTTTTTCTGGGTTTGGGGTGGGGTTTTTGGTAATCTCATTTTTCTACAGATCAAGTCCTACCTTATAATTTCTTCACAATCTCTGTACTTCAGTCGAAGCACACTTAGGTCAGGCATGTGTGAACTTTCACACATCTATTTTATATTCAAATGTCTTAATTCTGTAATGGATGAATAAGAGATTGAATGCCTAAGGACTAATCAAATTAGTGAACCATAATCATTTTTGTAAGACAGAAAACAAGCTTATTAGAAGATAATAATAAAGGAAAAAAGAAAAAGAATAAACTCCATATCCTCAGTAGACAAAATTGTTCCATGTGTTAAAAGTACTTTGTTCTGGATCACCAGAAAACTTGTCTCACTTACTCACTTAGTGTTGCTCAAAATGTACCAAAGTTCAAGTACTTCTCTTCTTCTTCAGTAGTTTACCATCCCAAAAATCAAATCCTGAAAACAGTGAGTGAAATGAGAAGAACCCTTCTGCAGCTGGAGATACTGTATCTATGAAATCCTATCTAACTGAACTGTCATACTGTAACATTTTCACTGTAAAAGCTGCCGTCTTTCAGGGTATGTGAAAGGAGTCTGATTTTGCCTCTTTTTTCTTCAGTAGAGAGATGGCATGGCATCAGTTAGAACTGATATTAGTATTTCCAAGGGAAGAAAATAGGAGATCCACCATGAATTTCCTGTTTTCAACTGCTGTGCATTTTCCTGGCAATGCCATGCCACGAGCTGCTAGAGCACTCCATGGCAATTTACACTGCTGCCACCTAATACATTATTAGCCAGGGACTGTTTGATTTAGATTATTGCACCAAGTGCTACCTTCTAAGCAATCACAAAGGCACAGTCTGGTTAGAATGATGTTTGCTGCATGTTCCAAGATTAGGCATGCATTAATTTCAGCTAAAACAGCAGCTGTTTAATGTTCATATATAATTGCACACAAATGTTTGGTTTAGAGTTGCCCAGCATTCAAACTGCCAGAAGAACCACCATGATTGGAATCTCAAAAAGTGCTTCCTGCACAGAGTGCTAAACTTGCCTCCATTCAGTGTGACCATATATCAGTCTGTTGCTTTCTACATCCTTTCTTAGCAGATGTTGAAAGGGCCAGAAAAGAAGCACAGATGTAGAGAGGCAAATCCATCTGAAAGCCAGATCTCTGCCTCCTGTCTGTTTCAAAGGCAACTCCTGGCTAAAAAAGGTCAGTGGCTTTACTAAAGCCACATTTGCAGACTGTTAAATGTTTAGAAGATGTTAGGTATAGAATGGCAGAGTTTTGAAATAGATGGATGTTATGCATACAAATGTTCAAGGCACAGAGGACATGGGGATCACTTTTCTGGAGTTTATGTTTTTCAATCACCTTTCATAGCACAGATGAACTTTTGAGTTCTTAGTCAGTGCAACTGGTGAATTCTTAGTCATTGCAATCGGTGGGGAGGCCAGTAAAAGTTTTACAGCTGAAAAGGGCTAGACCTAGCCATGAGTTTCATCTTTTTCACTTGATTAGCAACAAAAGCAGAACTTGATTAGCAACAAATGGGCAGGGGTTACATTCATAAAAAACTGATAGTAAAGCCTCACCTTGAGTCTCCACCCAGAAACCTGAGAAAAGTAAACTAAATTGAACAGCTTAACCTGCTCAGTCAGTTAATTTTCCTGATTCACAGGCACTCATCAATCAGCTTAAAGCACACTAGTTTACCAAAACAACAACAACAAACCCAAGAACAAAACAGAAAAACAAGGTAATGTATTAAGGGCATATACATAGTGCTTGAAATATAACTTTAGCCATTTTTCCAGTCCTCTCCTCTGCTGGGTCTGCCAGCTGGTTGCCTGACCCACAGCAGAGCCTGGCTGTCTGTGCCACTACACTCTCTAAATAAGCACTGCAGCACTGGTATTTGTAGTTTCCCTCATTCATTATTTTAGGTCAGAACATATATGGCAGTGGGGAGTAACAAGTCTCTTTGTATACCAGAAGCTTTTAAACAGTTTCTTCTCTAAATACCCCAGAATATAAGTAATTTCTGCTTCATTTCATGCTTTCCCTTTCAAGGGAAAGTCTCCTTTCCCTTGTTGCATGAGATTTTGTCCTCTGATGCTGGAAACTATTGCATTGTATTATGATGATCTCTCATTGAGAACTCCTAAGCCCAATCAATTAGTCCCGATTTTAATACCCAGCTTGGAATGTCCATGATATGTCTCTTGATAAAATAAAGCAAAGCCATCATAGTATATCAATGCATATGGAATGAAGGTGGCTCAGACCTGACCAAGAATTCCTTCTATTCATGACCTTTTTTTCTACAGGGGAAACTCTTAGCAACAAGCTTCTCCTCTTGGGTCACCTTCTCTCCTGGATTGCCAGTCTTACAGAGGAAAAGCATCACCATTTCTTTAGTTCTACCTTGTAGCTTGACTGACAATTTTGCAGCCCCTGCTAGGAGTCATCCTGCAGAAGCATAGGCACTGCTGGACTTGAAAAGACCCACTAATACAACAATTTCATATATACTGGGTCTCCAATTTATGGCTGGCCAGACTTTCCTATGTAAACTAACTCAGTGGCTTACAAGTTTCACCTGACAACCATTACACTCCTGGCTTTTGTTCTCTTTTCAACAGAAGAGGGAGGTATCATGCAATGTATGGCAGGTATACTGTATTAACCCAATGAAGGACTGCAATAGAAAATATTAAAAATATAAAGTACGGTTATGTCAGATAATTTCACTTTGTGAAAAATAGTAGCTTCAAGAAATAAATTTCCCTAGATTATCAGTGACAGGCAAGGCATCATCATCATCCACTTGGTATTTAACCTCCTGGTGAAATACCCGCTGATGTATTTCTGACCCTTTCACCTCAGACTAAATGACGGTCAATTGTTACTGGGACAGGTTGCTATTTTTCCTGTATCAGGTTTTAATTGCTAGTGGTGAATGCCCAGATCTCGCTGACTGCCGCGGCTGTGTGGAGACGCGGATGGGGACAGTCACACAGTGTTAGTGCGTGTCCTGCGGGCACGGGCTGTGCCACACGGTGCGAGGCTGCTGTGTGCAGAGCAGTGCGGCTCTGGAGACGAGCCCCGAGAGGCAGACTGGACCCAGCAATGCCCAGTTTGGTACCTGCATGTGTTTGGAGCGGCTGTGGCGGTCGGGGCAGGGCAGAGGCGAGCGGCCAGCCCTGGGACAGGCATGCCTGGCTGCCCGGCACCTGCCCCAGCCCGTCTCGCAGCCCCCCCGGCACCGAGCGGGGCTGGCAGCGCCCCTGTGCCCTTCCTCCGGCCGGCGGGAGGGAGCGGCGTCTCGCCCTGGATCGCAGCATGGCTGGGGCAGGGGCGCCGGACAGCCAGGACCCTGAAGGCGCTGGGACATGCCCGGAGGATGTCCCTTCCCTCAAGGAAATCGAGCAGCTCCTGAACACTGGGCGGCCCTCTTGCAATCACGTTGATGAAGTATGGCCTAATCTCTTCCTAGGGGACCTGTAAGTACGGGTTTATGGACACACCTCTGTCATACCGTCTGTTAGTATGCCTCATGGGTGCGGCTTTAGACAGCTCATAGTTTTGTTAATTGCTGTCGTTTACGCTGCAGACAGCACGATTTCCGAGATAAAATTATGACTAAGCTGGTATTCCCTTCTCCATTAGCCCTTAGAATCGATGCATAGGCTGGTGCTCCAGCAGTGGTTTGGGAGATGAAATCTCAGTGCTTCTGCTCTGTGAATATCACTGCACCCATCTTGATTTGTCTTTGTCTTTTCCTTAGAGTAACAGCAAACAATAGATTTGTTTTGTGGAAGATGGGTGTGACCCATGTTTTAAATGCTGCCCATGGCACATCATACAGCCACGGAGGCCAGGACTTTTATGGAGCAACCATTGATTATTATGGTGTACCAGCCCATGACCTGCCAAGCTTTGATATCAGCCAGTTCTTTTTCTCTGCTGCACAATTTATCCACAATGCCTTGAACACACCAGGAGGTATGAAATTATTGTTGGTCACATTTTGATGCGAGTCAGCAGCCTCATGTAACAGGTCAGCTCCACAAAGCTCAGTGGTGGACAAGTCACTACATGGTGTCCTGCCAGGTGCTGGTCACCTGTACGGTGGGTGGCAGGAGAAGGGAGTGCTGTGTATGTGTGTATAGCTCTGACTGGGTCCCAAAGAGCTGATGTGACAAAACAGATGAACTGTGCAGGAGAGAGCCTGGGGAGGAGAGAGAAAATTATTTGGAAGGTAAAGCTCATTCGAAACGGGAGAAGCAAAAACATGCATTGGAAATGGACACCCTCTTTTGAGACCATCTTATTGCAAGAACAAATGAATAAAAAGACTAATGTCCTGGTTTCTGCAATCACCTGTATAAAGAGGTTAGTAGGTTGCAGATGAGTTTCTTGTGTGAACAGAGCCTGCAAGGCTGGGCCTCCAAGAAGCAGATTTTAGCATTCTTCCTTCCTTTAGCCAGCCTGCTAAAACTAAGGGGTCTTCTTTTCCTCATGGTCAAAACAGAACAGCTTCATTACTCTAAGAAGGTTTTCTTTCATTTACCAGTATTTCTGAGATCAGTTTGGGGTCTCATGGTGTTTCTCATACATAATTAGAAGTACACGTGATTTATCAGAAGAGAAAAACATTTAAATTAAACTTCATCCACTGTACTGCTTCTCTTGATGGTTGTATTTTCTTTTTTCTTTTTTTTTTACTAGCCAAAATATTGGTACATTGTGCAGTTGGAGTAAGCAGATCAGCTTCTCTAGTCCTAGCATATCTTATGATAAATCACCACCTCCCACTAGTTGAAGCCATCAAGACAGTGAAGGAGCATCGATGGATTTCACCCAACCGTGGTTTTCTGAAGCACCTGCAAAACCTGGATGCTCAGCTACGGCAAAGGAAGGACTGGAACAAAGGAAGGACTGCTGAACAGGCAAGCCCATCTGCATTCACTTGACTGACTTTCACCCTTCAGAGCAACTGTGCACATACAACTTCCCATGATCAGTGCACATTACAAAAATGAAGAGAATTATGCACAGACATAAAAGGCCAAGAGAACGATAGATGGATTAATTCTGTTAGCTCAGTTCCTCCAAAACCAGCACAGCCAACAGCAGCACCATAACCACTGCACAGGGTGGAACTGCTGTGCCTTGAGTGGTGCTACTGGATGAACCCACTGAAGTGGTTAAGACAGACCAAGTTTGTCCCTGGTTTCTGCTCATGCCAGAGGCAAGTTCAATATTTGCATCTAGCTGTAAAGGATGTTTGAGGCCCCATTACTTGGGAGTGTAACATAATAATCTTTCTCAGTTTGGTTACAGTTCTCACATGCATGTTCTCCTAAGAAAAATTTAGTGTTTCAGTTTCAGGCCTGATGATGTGACAAGGACAGTTTATTAAGAGCCCAGGCACTCCTACAGAAACGTTCCTCTATTTCTGGTCTGCTAAATATTATGGTGCGTCAGCCACAAAACCCACACCATCAGAATAAATGTTTGTGATACTTCTGCAGCCTGGGTCAGCAAGCCCCACAAGTATTTTCTTGTTAAATGTGTTTTCAAAAAGATAATGTATATCGTGTAGTATATTGAGGATGTTAAAAAGACTATGTCATGTCTTCAAAGCATTTTGTAAGTTGGACTCCTCAGTTCTCTTACACTCCAAATTATCCCAAATCAGTTCTGTGTCAGTGGCTTTGGATCACCTGTGGTTTAATATCAGGTAGACATTAAGCTTACATCAGTGGCTTGGCCTAATTGATACAAATTAGTTTTAAGATGTTTTAAGGATGTCAGTTTTCGTGTCACCAGTTAATCAGTACTTAAACCAATGTGATTTTTAATACAGCAACAGCATTTGAAATTCATTCTACCACTCTGCCTTAAAATTAGCTTGTTACCTTGTGGTGAACCATGAAGTGATAATCAAATTTGGTTTTGCCCTTTGCTGCTGGTTGGATTTATTGATTAGTTGACCTTAAAAGATTCCCTAACAGATTAAGTAAATACATTTCTGCTTGCTTGTTTGCATTTGAAGCATCAGTTCTGATCATTTTATTCTCTGCTGTAAGAGACTTGCAAGGTTATTAGAAGACTAATGTAATGGTGACGTGGGAGCTGAACCTCTTCCTTTCCAGACCACATTTCCTTATTCATTCTTTCAGAGGTTATGACATGAATGCTGATTCTGCCTAGCATTTAGGGGAATGTAGAAATCCCTCCCTATTTCACTGTACACAAGTGCTTTGCAAAATAAGCACATTTAAGATCCTTTCAGACATCAGTTTGACTATTGAGATTTTCCTAAATGTTGCAAAAGAGCTCCACTGATCAGAAAAAGATCAAATAGGAAATCACATTTAAAACCCAACAGTGCTAGGACAATTTTTATACCTCACAAAGCAGCAGAGCAGTGGAGGAGGAGCTTTGTTTGCTTTGAAGTTCACCATAAAAATTAATAGGTATTTATAGGAGTTAATATTTCATTGTAATTTATACTTCATTCACATTACAGTAGGTTTTAGTCTGGAAACCTTTTGAACACACAGCATTGAAAAATCTGAAATTCATGTGAGTGAAATAATGCATCTTAATGGCTTTAGGCTGGACAAAATTAGACACATGTGAGCAAGATTAATGGAATCCTCCCATCAGGATAATGTTTTGCATGCCTCTGAGCATCTGTCCTACAAAGCCACAGCTGTGAAAGCTGCTTCTGTTGTAAATTAGTACCTGCTCTTGAAGATACTGCTCATCCTGGGAGAGTATTGTTTCACCAGGGGCAGGGAAGGGAAGAGCACAGAGTGAAGCTGAGTCTTTCGGGCATCCGTGCCACCAATGGCATGGTAGTGATCTTGTAAGCATGACTTACTTACCTCAGTGGAAGGAATGAATTAGGTAGAAACTTTTTTCAAGGGCATTGTCAAATCACAGAAGTGCTTTTAATCTGTGGCGTCAGTGTTGCTTATATTTCCTGCCTGCCTGTATTGTGTCTTTATATACAGATTTACTTTGAGTGCACATTTGTGCTGGGGAAAAGCTTCCAGTCAACATAAGCAAAAGCAGAAGAATAGTCCTGTAACTTCTTAAAACAGAAAGCATTGTCTTCTGCAATGTGCTAAGAGGAAAAGGACCTCCTCATCTGTCAATTACACTATCCATAATTCACGTGATGTGACGTGACATTAGTACTTCACTGCTTTCCACTATCAGCAGAAAAACTTGTATTTTGAATGTTAGTTTGGCAAGTTATATTAAGGAACCAAAATGAAGGAAAAATACTGCCTTCCCAGTGGCACTTCATTCAGAAAATACACATTTGTCAAGAGGGTCTACACAACCTGGGAGAAGGTGCAAGTGAAAGGAACTGTCCCCACTACAGCTCTAGCAGACTTAAATCTGCTTACAGCAATCACAAAACCAGTGTCACCTCAAGGGACCCATGTAGAGTTCCAGTGAAAATGTCTTTTCATTTTATTTTCCAGTACAAGAACCGAGGGCATCAGATGAAGTCAGTAGAAATCAGGTCTGAAAGAAAGGGAGGGGTTTACATGAGCTGTGTAACACTTGCCACAGAGTGCTGCAGAGAGTAAAAGCCTATAGACATTCAAGTGGAAATGTTTGAGGGACAGAAATCCATTCAGGGTTACCAAATACTTAGAAACTCCATCCAGAGCAGCAAGCTCATAAACTGCAGCTGGAAGCTGGGAGAGTGTTATTATTATTATATACGCAGATATAATTCATGCTTGTGTGTTCTTACATTCTGTAGGCATTCACTTTCAGCCACAGTCAAGCACAAGACAGTGGGCTTGGTGAACCTTGGGTAAGGCCCAGGACCAGTGTTCTCATGGTGTTTATTTTGAACTCGCCCTCAAGCTGTGCTGTCCCCTCTTTCCTGGTAGCTTATTATTAGAACTGGGTCACATGAGGCACTTGGGACTGCGTCTCGGTTGCACTGACATTTCTTTCACAGGGAAAGCTCTGTGCTGGCAGGAACAGCACCATAGCTTATGTCAGGATGGGAGTAGCATTTTTTTGCATAAGATTCACTTAAAGCAGAAGGTTCATTTTTCTGGCTGTTCCCCATTGCATCAGGGAGATACTGCTGAGCTAATCCAGGGAGGCGTCAAGGCGCGAGCTGTATTTAGAGTCAGCCACCTGCTTGGGAACATCAAGCTGCAGAAAGAGCCTGCTTCAGCAAAACCCTCCCTGTGCATTCCACAGCAGCGGCTGCCAGCAGGCCCTCCCTCCTCTGCCTGACTCTGCATGAGGCCTCCAAAGGGGTCAGCACCTGAAGACAGACCCTGTCAGCCCAGGAGTGCTCTGAGCCTGGCACTCCCTCTGCCCAGGAACTGCCAGATATTTTGGACAGCTGCAAGGTGGAATTAAATCACGTGGGTGAAGAGTGGCCTAATCTCTACATAGGCAATATGTAAGTGTTATTTGAGGCTGAGCTGTTCTGAAGGGCTGGGGAATACAGTGCTCATTAACATATGCTGTCCAACTTTATATAATTAGCATTGGTAAATTTCATTGCCTTAAAATAGACAAGATTAGCACAGAAGAAAGCAAAAGGACTATCCATTAAAGAAAGAACCTACTGCACAGAAAAACAATTAAAAAGAAAATTCGACTCTCTTTATTGCTTTGTATTAATTTATAATTGTGCAACATACGGATTTTATAAATGCTACAGCATTTACCATACAAAGCACAACACAGGCTCATGATCCTAAGCAGCCTTAAAATTGAACAATTGGTTTTTACCTTTTTTGGTGTAATTTTAACTAGAATGGAATTTTCACATTAAAAAATATTCTGATTTTGGCTGTTTATAAGACAACTTGATTTGCAGTTGAAATTTTGACAAATCTATGGATATTCTGAATGACAGCAGACTTCACTATTTCTGAAAACTGTGCAGATGGGTGTTTCACTCTGAAGATAGAGAAAGCATGCAGTCATCTGCACTCAACAGACCTAGTGCCCATTGTTATGCCAAAACAAGGGTTGTTTCACCATCATCAGGTTGCAAACTTGTTGAAATATCTAGAAATTACAATAATCCCTACAGGAGAGAAACAGGGGATACTAAAAACCCTGCTGATTGCTCACTGATTACAGCTAAAGTGGCCATTCTTCTAGCTATGAAACAGCAAAGCCAAAAAATGAGCTAGGTGACATTGGGGAAATAATCTGCATTTACAAAACTTAGTTTTACAGATTGTCGCCTGCTTCCTGATGTGCCTGCACTTGCAGGCAGGAGCGTGGCAGCCGGCAGGTGGCCCTGCGCCCTGCGGGTGGGGACAGCCAGCAGCACGGGGCCCTGGTCGGAGCCTGGCCGTGCTCAGGCAGAAGCCACAGCGATGTGCAGCGCTTCGCTGAACTCCTGCCTTGGCCAGGAGAGTGCGAAACCGACCCTTGCCTTGCCGGTTAAGCCTTGTAACTACACTTGGAAATTAACTCTTTTACTTATTAGAACCATGTGCAGAAACAGGGAGTTGTAGAATTGAGCCTGACAGGTAGTACAGGCAAAGATTTAACACAAGCATCACTGACATGGTGTTCTCTTAACAGCAACATTTGATTTTAGACAGCCTTTTATGTGCAGTTTCAAGACCTCCTTTTAATGCCTGTGAATATACATGTTCCAAACTACTCTTGAATGTTTCTTTCAATCACATTCTGTCTTGTAGGGGGAAAGAAATGGTAGAGAATATAAAGAAAAAATATATAGATAACAACAGTGTGTATGTGTTGTAAGGAGAAGATGAACTTTGAAAACATTCAGCTAACAGAAATAAAAATGAAAACAGGTTTCTTTGTTAATGGAACAGCTGATCACTAATATCAGCTTAAATACAAGTTACAGACTCCAAACAGTGAAAGTTGATCAAGTAGAGATTGAATTTTCTCGATTGTGCCAACATCAATAAAACAAATAGGAACAACACCTGAGAATGAGGTTTCATGGGCTCTTCATGAGATAGGAATGGAGAGAGTATTTGCATTTAGGGCCCAACCCAGTACTCAGTGAAGTTAATAAACAATGGATGTTTCTGTTACTGAGCAAACCCATGCCAGCATCAGGACTTGTGCCAGAGCTAAAATAACCCAGGGCAGTACCATATATTGTCACTTGTTTCTGTGGAACCATTTATGTGCAGTTTCTGAGCAGCTACTTGGAAATCAAAGATCAATCTAGAATTAATGCTGTATTTTATAAGAAATATTTCTCTGTATGCCTGTATCAGAAATCTGATGTTCAGCATCTTTAAACAAGTTAAATATATCATAAAATAAAGTAAGGACAGCTGACTTAACAGGATGACTTTCATCCTGGAGGACTTTGAAGTTGTCAACAAACTGATTATTAAATATTTGTCTGGCTATCAGCCATTGCTGATATACAAGGCCAAGGCCCTTTGGGTTTAAAGGTACAATGTTTTCTGAAGTGCTATATAAGCAGCTGAGGGCACAATATGTAAAATATCCTGCAGAAGTCAGACTTTATGCTGATCTTAAGCAGGTAGGTTTATTAACTGGAGTTTAACTGGATCAGCAAAGCTAATATCACTTCAGCAAAGAAACATTGTACAGTTACAACCTATGCTAAAATCTCAGTGTGTTCAACATGCATGTTTCAAATCCAGTTGTAGAGCTACCTCCTGAGGTGAATTTTAGTAGGGTGTTTGGGCTAGCGGTCCTCAATGTGATTGTGGCCAACTGAAGTCAGAAAAACTTGTTAAACTTATTTCATTTCAGAAGTGAAATAACTTGGAATTCTGCATTTCCAGATTTGAGTATATACAGAAATTGCAACGTTGTATCATTCTTCTACTACTTTACTTTTTCTTACACTTCTCAAAGGGGAAAAAATGTCTCAGAGTGTGGTGGGCACTGGGCTCTACAGACAGGAATACATTACAAGGCAACAAGATAACTAGAGCTACTTGCAATCATGAGCTTTCATAGCGGACACAATCGACTTTGACCTTGTTGTGCATTTCTGTACATTCCGTGTGCATTAACAAGGGCAAATGGCGAATCCCTGTCCCAAAGGTAAACTGCTGCTCTTAACAGCGCTCACATTAAGCAATCACAAATTACTTTAGCAGCATTAACTAAATGTCACTCAACCACTCAGGTAAGCCTAATTATCCACTTGCAGACATTGTCTTCATTGGCACATGGGAAAACAGCAGGATCCTGAGAGATTAGGAGTGACCAACAAAACCATATCCACATCAGTGGCAAGGATCACACATGGTGTACTAGTAATCATCAGAATGTATCTTCTGTCACAGGAGAGAAAAAAGAAAAGCAATTATAAAAGGGAAGACAGTCTTGAGCTCTCAGTCAGAAATCACAATTTTTTTTCAGTTTTTCTGTATTGATTTGTCAGAATGCACAACAAAAATAACTAAAATAGTTACTTCCTCATCTGAGAAATAGCCAAAAGCTGCAAAGAGCTATTGCAGAGACATGCCAGTTGGCCATTTACAAAGCCTCATGCTATGTGTTTTCCTCTGTTTCTGGACTCAGATCTCTAGTAACAAAAAGCAGTTCTTGATTTATGAAAGGGCTGTATGTAATACCCTGGAGGCTACTTTATCTCAGCTGCTGTAAATTGGATCTCTCAGAGATGAGATGAGATGCGAGTAAGGCAAAAGTACAATTTTATGCAATCTGTGACCATAGCACTGTTCTGTGCAGCCTGGAACAGCACTATGTGTATTCCTTTCTGTTTTGAAAGGAAAAATCTTTATTTGCTGTATTCTTCAAAAAAGCAGATCTGCTTCCTTTATGCTGGCTTACCCTATGATATTCTGCCACTTTCCTCTAGGCAATGCTATCCAAAGAGTTACCCAGTCACGAGCAATTCCATCAAGCTGCAGGATCTACATACTGAACTCAGATACAATATACACCTATGTAAACTCTAAACTCATGAAATTAAAAGAACACAAAGCGACAAAGAGAAATGTCAGACAAACAATCTGAATATGAGATAAAGATGAAAGGAACATGACCTAAAGCTTTAACATCAAATCTATTTTTCCTCTCTGTTCAGGGTATAGAATATTTCTGAATTTTGCATGCTCCTTTCATTCTTCAATCTGCAAATATGCTAGGTACTCCTCTGGGATACATTCCTAATTTGCTGTCCATTCTGCTCATTAAAACTCTCAAAACTCAACTCCAAGAGAAAATAGGCCCCTGTTTAAAATTAAAGCTCTTAAGTATATCCCTGGACACAAAAAGATGCTAACCTGTTTTGCTGATTTGGATCAGCAAATGAAAAGGGGAAAATATTGCCCAACCTGTAAAAGTCACCCAGATGGGAGACAGTTTTCTCACCCTGCTGACAATAGATGCTCAATGGCTGAGGACTTCCCAGAGGTAACTTCTTCCTGCCATGCCCTCTGCCCAGCTCTGTCCCAGCTTTATGGACCTGTGAATTATTGCAAATACAATAAATTTTCAGCCACAAATTAGACATTTCTCTCATGCTCAAAATTTCCCATTCCCACCAAAATTCTTATTACTTGAACATTGCTGTGCCTCTAGCACTTGTGAACATGGAAAGAGACAAGTTATTTAATTTTAATGGAATATTTCATAAACGAACTGCTCTTTAAAGCCTATTCTGCTGGCTCAGAAGGCAGATTTCTCCCAGTACCCTGTCTTATGTCAATGTCTTGCCCAGGAGAGGGGACTGTAAAGAAAAAATTGAAACTTTTTTTGAACTGTTGAAATGACTACCCAAATTTGCATACTAAGATAGACCACCCCAGGGCAGTTCTCATCTTAGAGCATTTGTTTGGAAAATAAATTGTAGTTTTAGACTGAGATCCTAAACATGCAGAGGTAAAATACCTGGGGAAAGTTGCTGGTGGCAATTCAGCATCTCAGCAGAATTCCATAGCATTTGCCCAGAGTTCTCTTGCCACATGCATGCATTTCTGGAGAAGGTAATGCAGTGCTGCATCAGAACACCAAAGCTGGGGCCACACCAGTCCTTGTGGAAACTCCCACCCCAAACCAGCAGTGTAACCCAGGGGTGAGTTTGTCCTCCTGTTTCCAAAAGGAGACGTGTGCCAAGGACAGTATGGCCTAAGAGGCACGCACTGCTGGCAGGCTCTCAAGTGTCAAAATAGAGCCGGCGCTGCCGGCCACACAGATCCTGCACTTCGCAGGCAGCACACAGACAAGGAAAACAATCCAGTTGTTGGGTGGAAAAAGCGGCTTCCCAGGATTGCTGTGACCATGGTGTGATTGTGATCAATCCACACTGGCAAGTATCACCTTTCCACGTGTGTTTCGCCTCCCGCAGGCTGCCTGCGGAGAGCAGCCCGGGCAGGCTGATGCATGCTTGTTATTGCCGGCGTAAATATCTCTGCCTTGTGCTATTGTGGCACAAAGCAGCTGGACCATTTGAAAATCATTTAAAAAGCACTATAAAATTAGGGCTCCAGTGCTCTTATTTTATGGCTTTCACGAGCAGCCATTGCCTAGAGAGAAATTATCCTCTTTATTTTCAAGGCTAAAGGTTCTTTTAACATTCATCAAAATCAAAGTGCACCCTTGGTAACACATAGAGCTGTTACTTATTTAGTACAGACTCTACTTTCTGCATAATATCACATTTGAGATCTCAGTTCTTCATATACAACTCATTTCATTGTGTCTGCTGTTGTTTTCACCAAGTGAATTTTCACAGTTTCAAGAGAGGCTGGATGATGCCCTGAAACATATTCTTTCCATAATTCTTCTTTTTTTTTTTTTTAATGGTTAGAACAACAGCCTGGAGTGTTTTTGTTTCTGATCTTTCTATAAAAATGTCCAATTACCTTTAAGCAATGGATTTGCACAGACCAATTAAGCACTGTAAGTGAAAGATTTTCAAGGGCAGAAATAATACTTAGGTGCATAACCTGATAGACTCACTTTAAAACATCTCTTCCCTGTATAGATTAAAAATCTGTCTTTAATAATTTTATTTTTTTGCATTCTTGTTTTCACAGACAGTTTCTTTACCAAACTGAAGAAAACGGTGAGTGAACCAAAGCAGCATGAAAAAATGCAAACAGTACAAAAAGAAAGCCATTTCTTTTAGAAAAAAAACCCCACAGCTGTATCAACCATACTTACAGCTCATCTCTGAAGGGCTTAGGAAGAGACACTGCATGAAAGCATCCATTGGCCTCAAAGGTGGCAAGTGGGAATGGTAAGGCCCTGCACATGCTCTGTGCTGCAGCTTAAGAGAGCCACTGTGTGCCCTCTGTTGTTTAACCTGCCTTACATTTCTGTAAGAGACTGGTCAACTTATTATCCAGACATCAAATACAGACTGAAGATAAACATTTACAAAGTCATAACCTTAGCTCTGTTCTCATGGTTCCCTCTCTGGCCAGGATTTTGTCTTTATGTTCT